GTGCCTATCCTTCCTCCCTGCTGATGTCCCTGCTCCCCCCTCCCCACAACATCTCCCTCACTTGGGCCCCTGGAAGGCGCCTCCAGAGCCCCCACCCCCAGGCTCTTCCGGGCCTCTTTTAGTGGCCTCCAAATGCCCAGAGAATGACAGTTGGGTTGTCAGCGCTCAGTAAGCGTCTGCCATTCCCTCCCTCCAGCTGGCAGAGAGCGCGTGGAGGACCAGAACTGTCTAATCTGCTCTGTGTATGACAAGTGTGTGTGTGGGGGGGAATGACAGGATATGCAGATGGAAGAGTAATCACCTCCTCTAAAGGTTCTTCTCCCTGCGCGGGGGTGGGGGGCAGAGGTGAAAATGGCTCCTTTGAAAATCCTTTCCATGCTTGCCAAACAAGGTTCCTAACGCTAACTTTACAAAACTGTCTGCTCAGGTTTAAGACCACTGTCAGAGAACTAAGACTTCCCTGACTATGTGAAAAATAAGAAAAGCTCCTAAGACAACCAGCAGATAGGAATGAGCTATGTAGCCCCCTACTCCGACCCCCAGGGAAACCAGCTTCTGAGAAACAAAACTTAGGTTGAAGGCAGGAGGCGGGGAGATCTGAGCCAGTGGCGCGCTGACTCATAGTTCACAATCCACTCCCTGAGGAGGAAAATATCCGATGTGGAACATCTGCCAATGTTTTGTGGTGCAAATACTCCCACTGTGGCCAATTTCAAGCTACTTAACCTGATTGAGCACCCCCAGGACACCACGGGGGAGCCACGTTGAGTAGCTCACCCCAGCAGGACTGCAGGCTCCTGCATGAAAGGTGCTGGCGCTCAGGCCAACTCCACACTTAAACTAGGACTCTCTGGCATAAACTTGTACTCTGGGAACCGGCCCACTGTTTTATTACCCATATGTTGTCAGTTACCTTTGGCTTCTAGATCAAGTTCCTTCAGAAAATGCTAGATAAGTGTGCTGTGCTACAGGGAGGAGAGAGTATTTTGTGGGCACCGGGGCAGCACAGCACCATGATCAGGGTGGGGGACATGCAGGGGACAGTAGGGTCAGTGTAAAAGGGGAACTCCAAGGGAAAGATGCAAGTCCACAGAGCTCACCCCAGCCACCCTTCCAGGCAAGTGTCAGTTGTCATGGCCAGGCTGTGGTTCTCCTCATCCTGATGTAGCTACAGACACACACAGCGGACAGACACTGGGAGGAGGAGGAGGGTTACAGCTTCTTCAGGATAGAATGCAGGTGTTGATGGAAGGTCTGGTCCAGCTCAATGGTTCTATCATGCCTGCACTTTGGGCCCAGCTGGGAAGCTTTAAAAAATCTTCAAGCCCAAAACCCACCACCAGAGATTCTGATTTAATTGGCACGGAGTGTGGTCTGGACATGAGGGTTTTTAAAAGCTCCCCGGATGATTTGAATGTGTAGCTTAGCTTGCACACTGCTGGTCTTACCCATGAGGCTTAATGGGAGAATCTGGTGAAAATCCGCACATAGCACTTCCGTCCTGGGACGCTACCCACCTTTCTGCTCTGTGAGAGAGAACTGTCAGGAGCGAGGCTGACAGCCTAAGTGGCCTAGGGAATCCTGCCTCACTACCTTACACCCTTTTCTCCACCCCAGGGGAGCTTCCTTCTGACCAAAATTCTACGTCTCAGCCATGACATTGCTGTGGCTTTCTATCTCCCTACAGCTATGTGCAAAATCTGCTCTCCCTGTACCAAGCACGGTTCTGAATAGCTGGAGTTCTGAGGCAAGACTGTTTGGGCTGGAACTCTGGCTCTGCCTAGGCAGCATGGCCCTGGCCAAGTTACTCAACTTCCCTATGCCTCGGTTTCCTCACCAGGGGAGGACAGTACCTGCCTTACAAGGTTGTCACGAGGATTCAACAAGAGCAAAATGCTTGAAAAATGCTTAGAGAAGATCGGACATGAAGTAAACGGTGACTGAGTACCAGCTAGTGTCACTGACCATGCCAAAGCCCCGGGAGACGGCGGAACGTGCTTTGTCCATCTCTGTCTCCAGCACAGCGCCTGGCACACGGCAAGCTGTTCAATTGAAAAATGACCCTTGGCAAAGGAATGGACATTTCGAATGCCTCAATTTGTGTCTGTGGCCCTGCAAGCCTCGTTCCCTGAATCAGGCACATGCAAGGCGGAGCTCTGCGTTTGGGAGCCAAGGGGTTGCTCTCCAGCACTCTGGACAGGGCCAGGAGGCTGGCCGGAGGCTGGCCGGCTGGCTAATGGAGCGCGCAAGTGTTTTGTTGTTTTAACAAACGTCAAACAACTCCTTTCTTGCTGTTTCCCTGCGGGCTACCGACAGAATGCCAAGAGCATCCTGGATAATTGGAGGTTCCGAGTAATCAAGGCTTTACCACACAGTGGCTGGCACAGATAATGCCATTCCATTTGGGCAGAGACCCAGCGTGTGAGAGGTCTTTTGCCCAGAGACCCACTTGTTCGGTCCCTGTGGGCAGACACACATGAGCAGGGGCCGCGAACAGGAGCTCCCCTGCCCCCATGTCGGCTGGGGGGGCATGCCTAACTTGCACTAATTGCTGTTAAAGCCTGTTTGTTTACTCCCAGCCTCTCCCTCACCCTGGCTCCACGGGCAGCCAGTGCCCCCTGCACTGTGTGGCTGATGATTACCTCCCCAAGCTGCCTGCCAGCTCGAGGGATGCCTGCACCAACTGCTCGCTGCTCGTGGGCACAGCATGGTACTCTGCTGTGCTGGACGAGGGCATGCTGGGAGACAGCAGGAGTCTGCCGTGGCTCTCAGGCAGCCCCCACGGTGAGGGCAAGTCATTGTCTCCTGAGCCCTGTGACAGTGCTTGGGGGAGGGGGCAGGGCAAGGCTCAGACTGCTATCAACTGGCTGGGCTCAAGGACAGCCAAATTCAGTGCCCAGGGAGGGGATTGGCTCCATTTTCCCCAAGACAGGTTTACAGGCCCAGTCCAGACTCAGGAGAAAAGTGCCAGGGGTGTGACTTTGTCCTCGGGAACCTGCGAGTCGCGTCGAATCCTTGCCCGGCTGACAGGCTGCACACAGTGATCACTCCGTCTTCTCAGCTACTAAGTGCCCATCTCAAATCCCCTCTTCACGGAAGCAAGTGAGGTACCAGGAATGAATGACACAGCAGCCTGCTTCAGGGTGTGTGTATCTGGTGGGGGTAGGTGAGGTGGGTTTCAAGGGATCTGGATGGGTGCCACGATTCTGCCAGGGGCTGGCCCCAGAGGATTGGCAAACCTTTCTTGAGCAGCTGAGCCCTGCCCTGGATGCTGTGGCCCACTAATTAGCCTCTATCCGACCCTTTAGCCATGGCCCGTGTCTCCTCTGTCCTGGTCCCTGGGTAAATGCAAGAAGAGGCCCAGCAGGCTGGAGGGCAAGGAGTGAGGGAAGAGGCTGAGCAGGCAGCATGTGGTCAGGACTCCAGGCTGGCTGAGCAGCAGGAGGACCAGCAGCTGGTGGGAAGTGACCACAGTGAACCCGGGCACCAGCTCCAAAGGGGGGAACTGTCCTCCCCACTCTGCAGCAGGGACGAAACAGAGGTGTGCAGAGGGGAGGTGATGTGCTCGTGCTAATGACATAAGTGGGGTTTCGGCCCTGTGCCTTTTCGGCTACAAAACTCTCTGCTTTTGTCATCACCATGGGGGGCCTCCCCTTCTGTCCGGAGTGACGACAGGCAGGCAGGCCTGGAGAAACTCTAAGAAGCCTTCCCTGCTGTGGTTCAAGCCGCCTCCTGGGCCCCGGGGAAGCTCGGAGGGCAACTGGTGCTGACAGATCAAGGCACCTGCCCTGGAAAGCTGCCAAGACAGAAGTGCCCCCACTACGCCACTGCCTGGTTGGCCAGGAGGCAGGGCCTTGGGTCCAGAAGCATTTGTTTTGGCCAAGATTCCCTACTCGCTGCTCCCTTTTCCTATGGAGCGTCGGCGGGTCTGCAGGGTGGGCAGCAAGCCTGACTTCTCAAAGCCCTTGAGGCCTGGACACAGCCTCTCCCTGGCCTCGCAATTCGGATCGACGAGGACCAGGGCCTGGCTAAACCCCGAGTGGGACAAGGTGGAGAGGAGGAGCTCAAAAGATACAACCAGCTGATTCCACAAGTGACGTTTGCAGCTCTGGGCACAGGCTGCAGATGGAGCAGCGTGTTGGCACTGGAGGGCACACAGCACACCACTGACTCATCCGTGTGCAGACCAGACCAGCCCCTCCCCCAGCAGAGCCGGCAGCCTGGTGGGGAAGGGAAAGGAGGGTAAGAGGCCAGCTTCTTGGCCTGTCTTAGGGGCCGACAGGCCTCTCACAGCAGGCAGCGAGATACAGGAAGTCTGTCTGCTAATCGGCTTCTTGCAAACCAGCGGCTAATGAGGCCTCAGAGTGTACCCTCTCTGGGAGAGCCTTCTCTGCAGCTACGGGCGCTTTCCAGGGCTGAGGGGGGCCAGTGGGCGAAAGCCATCCCTTTGTGACCTGCCAACTTGTTTATGAGTGCCTACCAGACACGTGGCATCCCACACTTGTCCCTTCATGCAGCTTCCCACACTCTCCTCTCCCATCAAGTGAAGACACATGGGCCTGGACCATCAAAGACCTGGGTGAGAATCCTGCCTCTACCGTGTCCTTGTGCAGGCTGCTTGACCTCTGCGAGCCCTTCTTCTCAGCTGTCAAGTGGTGATCCTGCGTCCCATCCGGAAGAGAGGCTTGAGCGGATGAAAGGAGATCATTGCAGGACACCTGTGCTAGGCACCCATTGATCTCTTGATCTCGGGGTCTTGGTTTTGGAAAGTCTGTATTCTTTCCACTTCTGCACTCCGCCTCCTCCAGGAAGTCCTCCGAGTCCCACCTCTATGCGCACCACTCCCTCAGCACGTGGAACTCAGTGCGTCTGCCTCATCGTCACAGAAGTGAGTTCTGAGAGCAACCAGAGCCTGCAGAACCTCTCACTATGGGGCAGAGTGGTAGAGCACCCAAAGTGAAACAAACCACATTCCCTCTGCCCCTGTGACTCTAATCAATTTATTCTGTGGCACAGCATGAGACTCGAACAGGCATGCAACAGTCAGGGGAGGGCGATCCTGAGGCCCTGGCAGGCATCTGTGCCCCCAGGCCAGGAGGACAGCAGAGGCTGCATTCTGGAGGATCTCTTCTCTTGCTGAAGGCCAGGGTGAAGCTGCAGCTCCCTGGAAGGTTCTGCCCTCCCCTGCCTGCCAGAGAAGGGAGAGGATGCTGTGATCCAGGGCCCAGGCCCCAGGCCCCCTGGAAACACTGGGCCAGGGCAGCGGTGCAGGTGACCCCTTGGCCAGCCATGCTCCCTCCAAGTCCCCACAGAGTCCCCACTCCCATCCTTGTATTGCAGGGACAAGGGTCCTATCCTTGGGGAAACCTGACGTGTGAGGGCAGGTGCCATGGCCCAGATAAACCACAGCAGAAGACTGAAGCCCCGGGGGTAGGGTGGGGTACAGACTCTCAATCGGCACACTGCTGCCCCCTCCTTGGTCACTTGTTAGAAATGTAGGTTCATGGGCCCACTGACAGAGATTCTGAGAGAGGACTTGGGAGCCTTCCTCTCCAGCCAGCACTCCAGGGGACTGGGGTGTGGGATCCGTGAAGCTTACGGAGCAGTTGTGCTTGGGGACGTCGGGGGGACAACAGCACAGCTGGTGGCCCGGAGATAGCACCTGGTGCTTTCGGGAAAGGCACCCCGACCAGCACTTCCCAGCCTGCGGTGTGCACACAAATCACCTGGGGATCTTGCTCAGGTGCAGATTCTGACCCTGGAGCACAGAGGTAGAGCCTGGGGCTCTGCATTTCTAACAAGCTCCCAGGTGATGCCCACGCTGTGGGTCGGTGGATGACGCTTTCAGAAGCCTTGGCAGGGGCTTCAGCATGCAGCCATATCACGGGTGGGGGGGAGGGGCTTGTTAAAACAAATCGCCTCCTCCCTCCCAATTTCTGACTGAGGAAGTCTGGGGAAGGGCCTGAGAATGTGCATTTCTTTCTTCTTCTTTTTTTTAGTAGACTCCACACCCAGCGTGGAGCCCTGAACTCAAGACCCTGAGATCAAGACCTGAGCTGAGATCAAGAGTCGGCCACTTAACCTACTGAGCCACCCCACCACCCCGGCACCCCGTGAGAATGTGCGTTTCTAACAAGTTCTCAGGCGCTGCTGCTGAGACCCCCACTTGAAGAAATACGAGCTTCCATGGTAAGAAGTGAAACAGCATGGCACAGGATCAAGTACATACGGCCCAAAGCATCCCTATAGGATACAGACACTTTGCTTTTTCAGAGTGCTATTGCTCTATTAAATTCTTAGCAAGAGCTTGTTTTCCTATGATCTCTGGCTGTCTCTGGAACACTGGGAAAAACCCCAGTGAGTTAAGGGTCATGGAAAATTAATTCTAGATTTACTGAAAGAGCCCCCTGCTTAGCAAAATGAAGTCTCCGAAGTACTTGATTTTCTCCTCACCCCCACATGTTCCAGGAGTCTGGTGAAATGCTATGCGGGATCGAGTTCTAATGCGAACTTCATGTGGCTTCTGCCTCCACCTCCCAGTCACAGGCAGCAGCTTCCGGGGTGAGAGACCCGGCTTCTGGAATTTTCCGCAAGACAGGTGATCCATCATGTCCTCCTGTCAGACTAAATGTCACCTCCTCTGAAGCCCCTCCCAGGCTCTCCTGGGAGCCCCACCTCACAAGGACACATGGCCCACCAGGACTGTCCTGGTGGCTTGTCCCCAGGACCCAGGAAGCCTCCCAGCCAGATGGGGGCATTGGCTGCTGCGTGTGCCAGGGGACCAGCTGGTGGAGGGGCGAGGCCCCTTGATCTACACTGTTTTACATTCACCTAAACCTGGCCAGACCTGCAGACTCGGGTGGGGGATGGGGTTGGCCACAGGCAGAGAAAATGGTAAGACACGGGGAAGGACTTTCAGACTGAGCGTGCAGGCCGGCCGGGCGGGGATAAACAGTCAGGGGCACTGACCCGGTCATCTACCTGACTCCACAGTCAGGTGGGTGGCGAGCTCCTCCCCTCGGCCGAGGCCTCGATGCCCGTCCTCACTCCACCCCCACCAGTCACCAGGAGGATGCGGAAGGTGGTGACCATGACGCCAGAGACACGGATCGAGAAGAGACGAGGGAAGAATGTATTGTGTGGCTGGCAGCGTGCGCTGCGGGGGACATGTAGCAAGGCTGGCCAAGAACAGACCCCACATCTCTGCAGGGCATCTCAAGGGAGTGGCTTTTGATATTTCTTCATCGTGACCCACAGTAAGAATTACGTTCTTACATCACAACCCAGTACATAGACCTGTGCATGTAGGTAAAACTGAAATGAAAGTCACAAAGCAATGTTACCACGCTAGAGGGGACGCACTCCATCACCCACTCGCCTCAACCTTCGCATCTGACTTCATGACTCACTAGTGGGTCACCGCCGGCAACCGGACACAGTCTGCCCTCCTGTGTGTCAGTCATTTCAGAGGGCCTCCGGGCCTTAGGAACTCCTGCTTTGCTCAGGGCTCCAAGCAGCTGAGCACCTGCGGTAGGGCAGACGCCATGCTCGGGGCTGGGTGGAGGCGGGGAGCAAGGCGGCTCCCGAGATGAGGATAGGGAGACCTTGTGCACACAGACCAGAGGACTGTCTGTACCAGCTGCAGCCATGGGGCCACCAGGGCTACCTAGATGCACGACCTGAGTGAGGGTAGTCAACTCCCGGTGAGCCCCAAGGACCGGCACCAGCACCGGCTGGCGGTTGGCACCAGAAAGCAGATGCAAGCGTCCCTGTCTCTCCCAGCCTACATACTCTAGTGAGGCCCCCTCTCCTCTCCCCTCCATGAACTGGAGCCCCCATTCTGGCCCAGAGTGGAGGAAGATCGGGTAGCAGCACTATTGAGAAAGCAGAAGAGAATGGAGTTGCTTGGGCCTCTCCCAGGATGCTGCAAGCCTCCGGGTCTCCCTGGGGCCAGGCTGCAGGCATTCTTCGGGGCGGTCCCTTCAGACTGGGTCTCCTTCTGAAGACGCAGGGGGCTTGCTTCAGAGCCGCCTGCTTTCTTTTCGCTGAACCACAGCCTTAAGGCAACTCATGCATCTCAGATTTATTTCTCGGGAAAAAAAATGTTTCCAACACCTTCTTTGGGCTCTGAAGGGGAAAAAGAAGCCACTCTTAAGGCATCCTAAACTCCTACTACAATTTTCCCAATGAGATCCTGCAGGAGATGAGCTACAGCTGGGACAAGGGCAAAGCCATTTCCGTAATGAAGGACGGTGCAGCCCTCAGCCGCTGTGACCATGGCCCCCTCCATATGCGGCCGGGCTAGGAAAGCAGGGACTGGGCCTGCCATGGCTTTGGGAGTTAGAAGCAATCCGAGTAACTAGCATGGATCAGGGAGAGGCAGAGAATGGAAGCGAGGAGACCCCAGCAAGGGAACAGGATCGCCTCTCTCCTTGGGGGGCGTGTGGGAGACCGGCCAAGGCCTCCAGCGGCAGAGTGGGGAGCGGGGAGTGGGTCCTGGGGTAAGTCGAGCACTTCAGGGAGCTTCTGCTGCACAGGGCCAGTCCCCAGCATCTCTACATCCCCCGTGCCTGGCCAGGCTGGCCTGTACCTCTGCTACAGGCGGACCTGGCTGGGCACTAGCCCAGGTTTTGACATGCCTCTTTCACCCGTCCAGCTGTACAACAGGCACCTGGCCTCAAAGGCGAGGGGAAATCTCTTAGAGCCTAGGTTTCTATGTCTATCAGATGGGCCGTGGGCCTGGGCCTGAGCATTCTTGGTAAACTGTAAGAGGCTCCCACATATAGTCATTACCTCACTCTACAGAAAGGAAGAGATATCTACACAAGAGAATGAGTCAAAGCAGCCCATCTTTGCTGTGGGAACTGTTGCTGCTAAGGGCTGTCGTCGGCCTTGTGGGAGGGGGGGTACCGTGGCATCTGTACCACGCTGTGTGCCCCGCTTCGTATAGCAGCCAGCACAGGGCCCACACGCCCTGCTCCCCTGCTTGCGGCCCAGCTCCCTTCTGGGCTGGGGGTGGCGGAGAACCTTGGTTTAAAAGCTGAGAAGAGGGGCGCCTGGGTGGCTCAGTCCGTTGAGCGTCTGCCTTCGGCTCAGGTCGTGATCCCAGGGTCCTGGGATCGAGCCCCGCATCGGGCTCCCTGCTCCGCGGGAAGCCTGCTTCTCCCTCCCCCACTCCCCCTGCTTGTGTTCCCTCTATCGCTGTGTCTCTCTCTGTCAAATAAATAAATAAAATCTTTTAAAAGCTGAGAAGAAGCTGGGGCTCAGAGGGGTGACGTGGGTCTTCTAAGGCTGTCGTCGGGAAGTGGGGAGGCCAATGGCCAGCGCTTGTCCTCATCCGCCTGCCTGCAGCTACAGGCCCAGCTCTGGGCTCGGCATCGGCTCACTGTGGCCCCTGCTCAGGAACTGCCCCATTCGGAGAAGCAGCAGAAGGATGTGGAGGCAGGGGAGGAAAGGCTCAGCAAGGAGGGCCTGGCCGAGAATGAAGGGCTCAGGGCCAGATCCTGGATGGTGACGGCAGCGCAGGAGGGTGGGCCTCATGGTGGAAAGGCACTTCTGGACATGCTCCTTCCAGCTAAAGACAGCACAAGGGCTCAAGGGATGGGGGGCCAATTCAAGGGCAAGGCGCTCAGGGATCCTGGTCTTGGGAGGGAAAAGACCAAACCAGAGCCCACCCGCAGGGCCTTCCCAGAGGCCACACAAGGAACCTCATCCTAGGCATAGGGCTGAGTGTGAGAGTCACATATACTCGTCCTGGCACCTCTGCCGACTCCCTGTGTGACCTGACACGCTCTCATGACTCCTCTGAGCCTTAGTTTACTCCTCTATAAAAGAATGGATCGCAAACCTCAGAGGTTACCTGGTCCCGCGCCCCCTTAGCCAGGGCCAGCGCACAGATGGGACACTCAGCGCCCCATGCAGGCAACAGGCACTCTCCATCCAGCTCCAAGCTGCTAGAGAGCTCTTGCTTTTAGTCAAATGGCATAATGGCTGTGAAAGCAATTACAAACAGAACAGCAGCACTGAAGGGGGTTATTACTGACACTGTCAACATCAGAGGCGGCTGAGAGGGCACCAAACGGGGTTTGAAGACGGGCTTCTGAGGGAGCCAAGGCAGCTGGAGGAGGGAGCCGAGGAGAAGGGGCACAGAGGGCCCTGGGGGGTGCTGCCTCTGTCTGGGGAGATCAGTCAGCAGCGAGAGAGGATGCTCAGGTGGAAATGCCTCAGAAGGAGGAAAGGGCCACTCGCGGGGCGGGGCCTGCTGTTTGCAGAAGGCGGAAGGCGCTCTGAGCCTGGGGCGGGAGACCCTCGGGGTCCTTGGGGGAGCATGTAAGTGCACTGGAAAGCTAGGAGACGCTGCTCTGAACACGGCTGCCTAGTGGCCTCAGGTGGTTGTACGTGGATATAGGGTCCCAGCTGGAGAGTCTGGGAGGCAGCCTTCTGGGACCCAGACAGAGCTTGTAGGCCCGCTGGGTCAGGGCAGGCCGTGAGGAAGCCAAGGCCTTCGACCTGCCAGGTGAAAGCAGCTGTCCAACCCAGCCCCAGCAGGCGGCAGGGCCTCAGAACGCTTCCCTTTCCAGGCTCAGTGCCCTGTGCTCAGGTGTCTCAGACCAGAAAGCTCACCCTTGCCCTCACGTCTGTGAAGGTCTGACCCCAGAGCCCCATGTCCTCCTCAGAGGGAGGAACTGCAGACAGAGACAGTGGGAGATGCAGGGACCACATGGCCGGGGCCGCTCACCCACGATGTCGTTCTCCTCTAGGTTGATGGTCTCTAGCGCTGGCAGGGTGGTGAGCTGCTCGGGGAAGTCATGGAACTGGTTCCGGGAGAGGTCGATGGCCTTGAGGTGCTGCAGGGTGCTGACCTCACTGGGGAGGCGGTGCAAGAAGTTCCCTTCCAGGTGGAGCTCTGTATGTGTGGGACGAAGAGGAAGAGGGGTGAAAGGGAGCAACCTACAGATCACAGGGACAGCGGTACCTGGGCCAGGAAGGCAGTGAGGGAACCCCAGCCACAGGCAGCCCCCCGCCCCTTCCAGGGGCTCACTCCATGTGTATGCAGGAGGAGCACCTGCCCTGCCCTGTCAGCTGGGCTCCCTGCTTTGGGCTCTGGGATGGAAGGCTCTCCTGACAGAAGCCTGGCCTAGACAAAGGGTCAGGATGGGCCGGCTCCTCCCTCAGACGAGGCATCACCTCTGGGTCTCAACAGGACAGGTCAGGGCGGGCAGGCCCTGGATGCCCGATACCCACGACCCAGCGGAGGGACACCACTTTCTAGCACCCTCCCTGCTCAAGGAGCTGCCAAGGTCCTTCTGTGTCACGTGGCCTCACTCCCCTGCTCAGCCACAGCTGGGCTGGCCCGATGGGTGTGGGCTCCCGCCCTATGGTAGGCAGGCGGCTGCTGGGAAAGCTGAGCAGCAACAGAGCCCAGGTGAGAAGGTGAGCTGGGTGGTGTGTTCCACAGAGAGAAGAGGGGGGAGAACCGGGGGGCCTTGGGCAGGGAGAGGGATGGGGTGCAGAAACCAAGAGTTGATGGGGAGGTGGGGTAATGCAGGGCTAGAAGAGTGGGGGATCTGGGGCCCCCACTGCCTGGCTCAAGCACCAGCTGTGCTGCCTGAAAGTTGTTCCCTCAGTCACTGAACCACGTTCCATCTTAGTGTCCTCATGTGCAGGTGGGCACTAATACTACTACCACCTGCCTCGCAGTGTCTGCTGTTGGAGCGGTCCCCCTGTCAGCGTGGGTAAGGCACGTGGCGTGGCGCCCGGCACACGGGGAGCATTCCTACGAGCTGCTGTCCCGACCACAGCACAGCGCTCAGTGAAGATCAGCGGTGTGCCAAGCGCTCAGCACGTGGCTGGCACAAAGTAGGTGCTCCATAAACACTGGGGAAGAGCCTAAGGAAGCAGAGGAAGCCTGCTGGCAGCAGGAGAACGGGGGAGACAGAGAGCAGAACCACCACGAGCCTGCGATAAAGAGGCTGCACCAGCAGAGGCCTTGGTCCCCACTGCGCTCCCAGCCCCCGTCAGCATGGGACCTTGCCGTCAGCCCCTCCTTTGTTACCTGACTCAGGCGCACCCTGTCACCTTGTCTGGCCTCAAGGAAACTGAGGACCAGAAACGCCAAGGGACCTGAGCAATGACCTCCACTCTTCTCCCCGGGGCCAGCTTCGCGGGCCTGTGACCCATGCAGTCACATGGGGTCCTAGGCTCAGAAGTCTGAGAGATTGAATGTTCTATGCTGCCATTCTGAAAGTCTTAATTTTATCCTGGAATCTGTGTTTGATAAATAGGGCTGGAGTCATGGAGAGTCAGGTCTCCCCCTGCGTCCCGAGGACACGTTCTCAGCAGCATGCTCTCTTGACCCTGACACTCCCAAGACAGGCTGGCCTCCCTGCTCCCTCACCCCTGCGCTGCAGCTGTGGCAGCTCTCCATCCCGGCAGGGGCCTGGGCATGAGCATCAGGAGGGCATATGTGCTCATGGCGTCCCCGGTGGAGCATGGTGCCAGCAGCCCCCCCGCCCCCCGGCGCTCCCTGCCCCTGGGCTGGCATCCCCGAAGTATGTCTAGTGGGTGGCAGCTGGGGGCCGAGTCTAGGCAGGAGGGAGCCTCTCGTCCACCCCGACCCGGGTTCGAGCGCGTCCTGAGGTAGAGGTTTAAAGATCTTTGAGGGGCGCCTGGGTGGCTCAGTCAGTTAAGCACCCAACTCTTGATTTCAGCTCAGGTCATAACCTTGGGGTTATGGGATCAAGCCCCATGTCGGGCTCTGTGCTCAGCCGGGAGTCTGCTTGACGTTCTCTCCCTCTCTCTGCCCTTCCCTCCCCGCTCACCCATGCTCTCTCTCTCTCTTAAATAAACAAATCTTAAAAAAAAAAAAGATACTTGCGATGCTGGCTGCCCCTCCCTAGATCCCATCCCTGGCCAGGGCAGAGTGTGGAGGTCCCGCACACTGTGGGAGCTGTCAGGCCTGAAGGTTCATGCGTGTGTGCCCTGCATCGTGGGGATAGGGAGACCCTAGGCACTTATGAGAGGCTGCCCTTCTTCCTTCCCTCCATCCAAACTTCATGAGTCTGGCTTGAATTTGTCCTGGCCCACTCAAGGCACCCTCTAGAAATGGGACACAAAATACAAATTGTGTAATTTCTTAATACACACAAATTAAAGGCTCTGATACCTGCATCTCAAACTGGCATGGCACGGTATAAGGATGAAAGGTAAAATGCACGCTAATAATTTAAAGTGTTAATTTCTCCTTACTCAGATGGACCTTCAGTAGCAAAGGAAAAGTACCATGACACCCTAAGAGCGACCTCAGGGAAAAGGAAAACACTTATGTACCTTTAATGGCACTGTTCTCCTGCTTTTTGAATGAGGATCCTGCATTTTCATTTTGCACTGGGCCCCACCGATTACGTGGCTTGGCCCTGCTCCTCCCTCTGTGCTCCACCCTCCTTCCTCGGACCCTCCAGGACACAGAGCTGTGGGAGATGAGCTGCTCTCAGGTGCCAACGGCCCCTCCCAGGGTTTGGCAGTGAAGGCAGAGCCCCGGACCCTGCCCCCATGCACTCTCTGTACCCACACACTGGAGTACTGGCCACACCCGGGCCCCTGCTCTGCCATGCTGGGGCTTGGGCGGACAGGAACTGTATCTGATTCATCTTTGTTCCCTCCATCCAGCCCTCTGAGGGGCACCTTATGGTCACTCAGCAAATACTGGATGAATAATGACTCTTCCCACCCCCTACCCAGGGGGCAAACAGATAATGCGGGGGGCCTGGCTGGCTGCCTCTCATTTTCCCACCTTCAGGGACATCCTGAACCAAAGCTCCATCAGCAGAACCACAGCTCGCCCCCCACAAACCCAGGACCCCCTCAGCAGCCAGTTCTTAGTTGGCCACGCCTTAAACCAGAAAACATCCCTATCCAGATCACGCTTCTAAGGTCACCGTGTTGGAAGGGATGCTGGAGAGCGTCCAGCGCTTCCCAGGCTTGCCTGTGCCAGACACTGCAAGCATGCTGCTGCCTCAGGGTCTTTGCACCTGTAGTTCTCTCTTTCTTTTTTTTAAAGATTTTATTTATTTGACAGGGAGAGACACAGCGAGAGAGGGAACACAAGCAGGGGGAGTGGGAGAGGGAGAAGCAGGCTTCCCGCAGAGCAGGG